ACCAAGGATCAGTATGACGAACTGAAGAAGAGAAGACTGCATATGGTAAGACAGGTTAGGATCTGTTATATCTTGCATGAGTCACAGATGTAAGCCTGAGAGCTGTGTGGGTATGACTAGTTGCCTTCAACACTGGATTTCAGTTTGTCATTTTTTCATGTGTATTGTACCATACCCTTTTCCAGGGATTCACATAGCTGCTGCTGTATTCTGCCCAGAACAGAAGTGAGTGTGCATGGAGCAGCTGGGTTAGGTGCATGTGCTGTTCCTGCTGCAGTGTGTGCAGAGCAAGCCCTGAACTGAGTGTGTTAGTTTACATGGACTTTGAAACTGTGTTCAGGAGTTCACTTGCCCAAGCAGAATTTAGAAACCTCTTTCAGTGGTGAAAAAAGACATTTAGAGTAAGGATGCCTCTTCAGTGAGAGAGTTTTTTCAGTTAGGAGGGAGGACATCATTCATGGTAAACTAAACCAACTTTGTTTTGAGGTATAAATTGAGAAATAAGAATCATCCCATTCCAAAAGCCAATTATATCAATGACCTTAAACACTGATGTTCTATTATAGGTGTCTGCTGCTGTAGTCAGCTGTGATACAATTACTGTTCAAATCAATCTAGACCAGTGTGCACAGCTGCATTAGGCATTTTTTTTTGCTCTGTAAAGAACAAAAAAAACATTTTTTTTTGCTCTGTCACTGCTCCTACTTGTCCTCAAGTTTGTAGAGGCAGATCTTATGGGATTTTGGTCAATATCATCACAAACTCACAGGACACATTTTCTGTGAAGTAACCAGAACTGCAGCTGATCCCTTTTAGCGACAGCGAGCACCATCTAAGATCAGCTAACTTGTACTCGTGGATTTAGAATGAAATTTTTCAAGCTCATGATGTTTTCATACTACGTGTTTTTTGTTTTAGGTCACTCTCGAAACACAGGGAAAACAAGAGGAAAATCAGAAAGAGTTTATCTCCAGTTCTGCAGCTGCAGTTAATGGTGATGAAACTCACATGAGAAAAGGAACAGTCAGGAAATCTGAGGGCTGGTTACCCACATCTAGCATCTCAAGAGAGAGTGAGAGAGCAGACCCACTTCTTCAGCAGATTGACAATATCACATCCTTTATTGAGCAAGCAAAGGCAGCTAATAGGATAGATGAGGTCCATATGTTGCAAGAAAACCTGATGCAGCTTCAGGATGAATATGATCAACAACAAACTCTGAAAGCTATTGAGCTTTCCAAAAAACAGGCAGAAGAGGAAGAGATGCAAAGGGAGGAACTTCAGGTCCTTTGTGAAAAAGAGTGGGAAAGAGAGCGGCATAAATTCATGTCTCAGCATTCACGGACACACTCCTTAGACTTCAGAGAAGTCAAGCAGCATTTGGATATTACTCAGATCAAAGGGGACACGAGTTCTGAAACTCCTGCTGTTGAGCAGCTGCCAGCTCAAGAGCATCTGACCTTCACACTCAAACCCCAGAATGTCCCACAGTGTGACCTAGACAGAGATCAGCCAACCTGCCTAAACCCCTTTGAAGATGAAGCAGATACCCCTCAGGCAGAGGAAGATCCTGCTAACCCATTTGTCAGAGACACCTCTCCAATGGTTTCTTTCTCTAACACAGCTCTGCAAAGTGATAAAAAAGAATATAATCCATTTGAAAGTGAGGAGGAGGAGGAACAAAGTAATGGAGCACCTGGCAGTACTTCAAACCCTTTTGAAGAGGATGAAAATCTGTTTCAAAAGGCTGGTGGGGGCAGTTGGAATTCAGGGAATCCATTTGAAGAGGGATCCTCTACTAATCCCTTTGAAGTGGAGGATGGCAGTGAGATCTCTGGAGAGGAGGTTATAGAGGAAGAGCTGCTTCTCCAACAGATAGATAATATCAAAGCTTATATATTTGATGCCAAACATAGTGGACGACTGGATGAGGTGGAGGTACTGACAGAGAACTTAAAGGAACTGAAGCACACATTAGCAAAGCAGAAGGAGAAATCCAACTGCTGAAGCAGCAACAGGGCTGTGTAATAATTCAATCTGCTGTTAAATATGGGAAGGTAAGGCAGATACTTATAGGCTGGAGTACAGATCATAAGAGGGAAGTGGGAGAATCCTGACCTTAAAGCACTTTCATTTAGGCATTGCCACTACTACACAGTCTTGAAGGAAGAATGTCTGAGGTATGCTGCTGGTCTCAAAGGCTTATACTAGGGAAATTTAAAACAGCTAACTGGTCTTACTGAATGCTTATTTTTGGTCAAAGAGGTTAAGTGCTAATAGGGAACTACGATTTGGAAATGATTGGAATGTTGGTTTGCCTTCTTTCCCCCCTTTCTGTTGTAGTGTTGGCCTTTCCTCTGTTGATGACCCAGGGTAGCTGAGTTGCTAGTGGTGTTCTGGGAAAGTGCAGCTAAAAAGCTGCTGTGATTCTCCACTGTGCCGAATGTACAGGCTTGCAGATCAAGCTTGTGCAATGCTAATAAGTACGTAAAAGGGACTTTAAGGCTGAGAAGAACTTTCTGACTGATCTTAATAGGAGTAACTTTTTAATGTGTGCATAAAGATGCCCAAGGAAAATTTGGGTGCTGTCTTTTCATCACTTCTGGTTTCCCCTTTGCTCTGAGCACCATGTCATAGTGCTATGCTGGCTTCAGACCTGTTCTTTAGGGAGCAAGTGTCTGCTCATTTCCAGGGAAAGCAGCATTAGGCCAGCACCACTTCAAACTATAGTATATAAAGGGTGACCCTCCAATTCCTAATTATATTATGGAATCTATACATTCCTTTCAATCCTCTGGGTGACAGAATGATCATGTTTGTTGTATTTATGAGACTGGAACCCTTTTTTTTTAGCATTCAAGGAACAAGAGATCTTTTTTGTAATGGAAACCTGAGGTGCCACTGAACTGGAATTCCATGAAAGCTAGGAGATAAAAGTCTGTGGCTGCAGTAGTACCAAATGACAATTTTCTTTCATGTTAGATTCCCCTCAGGAATTTTTGTGAGAATCAGGCATGTCTGTCTTTAAGAAGGAACTTCAGATTGAAGACCTCTTGTCATCCTGTGGCCTAGGGGGTGACCAGGTGACAGCCAGCACCTGTGCTGCAGGAGGGCTTACAGCTGGACAAATGCAGGGTCACCTCAGGACTAGGTCAGCCTCTGTCTTTGAGAAAGATGGAGTTTGAGCTGCTTTGATTTTTATCTTTGAAAGGCACAGGTCCATCCATCATCAGGAATCAGTGTATGTAGGGGTGGGGAGGAGGAGTCAGTCTAAAGGGTTTCTTTATTTAAAGCTGAAATAGAGAAAAATCAGGCAGATCACACTGTACAGCACTAATAGCAATGGGCTTACTCAGAAGTGTGAAGTTCTCTGGAATGGGACGTCTTTTAACTGATACTGGCGTAGCTGTAACCCAAGCACTGCATGAGATTTGAGAGACACAGATGATTCTGCTACCTAAAGGGCAGGACCTCTGGTTTTATTTTGCTGTAAATAAGTGGAGGTAGGGACTTATGGAACTGTTATTTAAAAAGCCCAAACCACCTATATCCTCACTTAATAGCACTGGTAAGGGATCAAAACGGAATAGCCAGTCAAGGACAGCTGATGTTATCTCTAGTGTAGCCTGAATCTGGAGTTGAAAGGTGAACGGAACAGTTTGGTTTAAGACCATGAAGTTTTTATGCTGATGTTTTATTAGAGCTGATTGAGTCCATGAGTGTTATTTTGCATCAAGTGCAAAAAAGAACAGAGAATTCTGAAAGGTCTTAAAACAAACAGAACTCGTGTGCTTGGCACCAGATTTATGAAGGCAGCAAAAGCTGTTGATAAATAAACATAATCCCTGGAATTGTATAGTATAAGGCAGTTACTGAGGACAGACTTGTTTGCTAGTCAGGAGGATTGCTCCCTGCACTCTAACCTAATGCTTTTTTTGATATCCACATGAAAAAATGTTTCGGTGGCTTCTGCTTTCACATTTAAAAGCGACTTTTTTCCTTGTTGCAACTATCCTGCCTTGTGTGTATTTTCTGTCTAATACACTAATAACTATTCTTACTGTACGTGTAATATATTATTTTTACAAGCAGATAACAGACTAGCATACCTCATGATCTTTGTCAGTGTTAAATGTGATAGACTAGATAGCTGATACTAAACTCATCTCCACAGTGCAGATCTTTGCTGGTGTGTTGAGACTGCTGTGAGGTTTGCAAGGCACAAGGGAATGAAGATGTCTTAAGCAGAAAGCTCAATAAATAACTAGCACTGAGTTTTGTTACAGCTGCATGCACTACTCTGTATGGAAACTTTGTAAACAGATGAAATAAAACAACATGTTTATTTTGTGCTGTGTTTGTCCTTGACAATTTGTACAGGATGCCTGAATCGGTGTGAAATTTTGTACTCGAACATGAGTTCCAAAATGCACAGATAAGCCTGATGTAAAGGTCTGTGCAATAGAGTGCAATCTATCACATTTATACAAATTACAGGTATTTTGTATTGTTTGGTGAGGCAGAAGCTGTGATGATTTAGAAGGGTTTTTTGACTGTGCAGGGAGGATGTTTGAGGTAAGAGGAGTTATATAGCAGCACAGGACTTTGAAGCACAATGGACTTGCTGGCTGGGATTTGCTGGAAGTTGATAATTCAAGACACGGTTCTCCTTTGTATGGACTGTTAAGGAAATTATGGAATTCTCTGCTGCTTCTAAGATAAATTAATTTGTTAGTCTAGCCTCTCTGTCCCAAAGAAAACACAATATTGGTTTTGCCATAATGGTTTCATCATTTACCTGCAGGCATGAGTAGGAAATAAGGCTCCAAGTAATTCCATTTTCCACTGTTGACTAATACTTTGTAAAACTGGCACCAAAAAAGCTGTGGTTTTAACTTTTATTTATTTTTCACTTGAATTATTCTAGTTGTAGCTGCAAGATTTATGAGGCAGGGTTGTCTGTATTGAATGAACTTGCTTATTCCTGTTTCCAGGAACTGTGAGCTCTTGTCTCTCACTGAAGCACCGTCATCATCCAGCCCTGAGGAAAAACAGCTGCACGACTTGTCAGGCTGATGCTTCATTTTTCATAGCAGCTTTGTATTTTCCCCTCATCTCTTTGGGCAGTGGCACAAAAGCAGGGCAGGGAACTTGGCCTTCAATCTCACACATGCATTCTCGCAGATGATACTTCTTGGGCCCAAAAGTTGCTGGATGTGATAGTTTTTTCCTTTCTCTTTCCTCTTTTTCAAGTGTTTCTCTAGAAAAGAGATCTGTTTGTTACTATCAGAAGCCTGAACCACAGCATTTCCTCTCCTTTCCCTGGACCCAGTTTACCAGAAAGATGGATTTACAGTTCTTAGCTTGTGAACTTTACCTAGCTTGTGTCAGTTTTGTCTGGGAATAGTAGTATTTCCTTCTGTATTCCTGACAAAAGTTTGCATGCATTATATTCTGTATGCTGGATGGTACATTACCTTATTACATTTTACTTACTTGCTTTTCCCCAGGATTTTTTTAATGTGCTCTGTTATCTCTTTGTTGGTTTTATCTTCCACGTCAACCAAAACTTGTTCTCCATTGTCTGTCAAGAAAAATTCATAATCCTGTATTAAATAGTACCATATCCCTCCTGCACACTGTTCAGAGAGGATGTAAACACACAACAGAGAGATCCGCGGCCCTGCTGCAGTTAATGTACGACGCAAGGTTTAAGTGGAAAAGCGAAATCTCCACGAGGGCAATTCTAGGGGAGCTGCCGAGGGGTAAAGCCGCTTTTCCCAACAAGCAGCTCCTTTCCCCGCCGAGCCTCGAACGACACGATCGCGGCTGTGACGCCGCAGCTCCCGCGGCCCGGGCGGGACCTACCCAGGTAGAACCGGAGGAAGGGCGAGGGGGTCATGTTCCTGAACAGCATGATCTGCACCCAGGGGTTCTTGTACTGGATCTGGGGAATGTTGAAAAACACGAACTTTCTGGAAAGGAGGAGAAAAGCACGCAGGAGCTGGCGCGGCGTCTCCGCGGAGGACGCGGCCCACGCAAGCCCCGGTGTCTCTGCAGGGGCCGCCCGCGCTCCCGCCGCGCCCCGCGCTCACCTCGCGCCCTCGCTCAGCTCTCCCGCTGTGTTGTAGTTCACGGTCATCACCTTCACCGCGCTCTTGAACACGACATCGCCCTGGCTGAGGTAGCGCAGGGTCCGCCGGATCGGGAACCGGCCCCTTCATGGGCAATCCGCGGCGGCGGCCGGAAGGGGCGGGACGGCCCCGCCGCGCCCCCTGGCGGGCGGCGCCCTCAGCGAGGGCCGGGCCTGGGGCCGGGTCGGGAGTCGGGGACCGGGCCCTGGGCCGGTTCCGGGTCTGGGTTCGGGTCGGGACGGGGGTCGGGGACCAGCACCGGGACCGGGACCGGGCCAGGTCGGGACTGGGACTAGGACAGGGGCCGGGCCAGTGTCAGCGTCGGCACTGGCGGAGCCTCAGGGGCTGCGGTGGCGCCCGCCCGGGCCCCGGCGGTACCTGCGCTCTGTCCGCGCACCTGCCAGGGCCGGGTGCCCTGAGCACATCAGCTACAGGTTTGTGACTACTAAAAAACTTGGCTGTTCAAGATGAAGTAAAACTTTAGGAAAAGCTTTCTCTCCTCCTAGAGCAGCTCCCTGGAGTCAGTAAAGTTCATGGGATTTCTCTTCTGTATCAGACCCGGTTAAATCTCTCATAAGATAACCACGGTAGTGAAGGCAAAATGCTGTTTCTCCCTAAAAGATAGTAAATTATGTATTTGGCTTAGATACCTCCCGTTTAAGAGAAAATAGTGACCTTAAAAATAAAACTCAAGAATGCAGTTATATGTGTAATTCACTTTAATGGTATAAACCTCATTTAGCTAGTATTAACCACAACAACATAATGCCACATTTAAACAGCATTTAATAAAATGCATAAGCTAAATCATGCACTGTAATACTCTATATACAAACACAACAATGCAAATTCCTCTTTGTGATTGAATACATTGATTAGATATAAAATTCCGATTAAAAAAAGAACATGCTATTATTTTTAAATGCTATCACACACAACAATGCTTATTTCACAGAAGAAGCTGTGAGAAATTAACAACTTTTGCAAAGTTTTTAACTTGAAATAAAAATAAAATAACATAAACATTAGTTTTCTAAGTTATAATGAACAGAGATATCCAGAAAATATCCCAAGGAATTAAAAGTAGATGCTTCCTTTTATAAAAATTTGCTTTTTGTAGGAGCTCAGCACTCCCTGGTGTGCCAAACAGATAAAACACTTAATGTGCAGTTTTCAGTTAGGAAACTGAACACTGGCTTGCAATGTACTTCAGAGTACAGAATAATTATTAAAAATATTCCAACATTTAACATTGATTCCATATATGAAAAATTTAACACATCCAGTCTGTAGGTAGAATGTTTTCTTCTTAAAGACTTCTTTTTGTTTGAAATTTACTCAGTCCTACTTTTAACCTACGATCATCAAAAATATCTTTAAATGGACCCGTGCTTTATTATCACAGAGCCTTTATTGCCACTACATTTGAGAACATTTCGTCTTTCAAAATACAAACAATTCAGATGTGGATATAAAACAACTTGACAATTGTAAAATATGGTTTTTTTTTTTCCAAATTAAAAATTGGATTTTTTAACAGATTTAATCTTGGTTAATACCCCAATTAGCTTCCTAATCTTTAAAACTGTTCCTGCAGTACAACATTAACAGACATTCAGGTTTCCATTCACCTTTAAAGAGGAAAGCGAGAGTTCAAACAGCACCAATTGTCCAGACCAATGAAGGATCACCTGTCACAGGAATTCCTGCCATTAATTTAAATATTTTTCCTGTTGAAAATCGCAAAAATTAAGTTCTGAAACGTTACCCTTTTTTTCCTAAATTTGAAACAAAAGCTTACAAACATTTATTGCCAATGCAGAAGAGAATGTTCTTAACATTTTCCACAGCAAAGACCTTTCAAGCACAAAGCCTGACTCACACTTGTGGTTCACTTTATAAAATAATGTGAGCATGCAAGAAGCTCCCATTATTTTGACTGATGTCTGCTTATCTGCCTAAACATACACAAGTCTTTGCCACATGGAGTACAGAAAGTGGAAATAAATGCCCAGAAAAGTCTGCTTCACCTTTTTAATATGACAAAAACAAGACTTGCTGAACTCCCTACGTGGTCTGTGAAATGCTTTTTTAAAACCCCATAGTTAATACATTTATTTTACAGAAGGCTCCCTTTGTAACTTCATCAGAAGGGAAAAAGAACATGAACTATTTATATTTTGATAATGTAAATGTTTAAGTCCTCCTTATGAATAGTAAACTGTCTTACTGCACAACTCATTTCACAACTGTGTGCTCAGGCCCCACACGGACAGTGGGAACGTCACATGCAGTGCAGGAGCTGAGCAGATTCCAGGCCAAGCAAAGGAAAGAACAAGAAAATGGACATTACTCGGACAATTAAATCAAGCTTTGTTCAGCTTGATTGAATTGAAATTCATTGTCAAAATCCTGAAGAAGTTTTAGTGCTCGCTAAGCAACAAGCTACCTGCAATGTCCCTCCTGTTTAATTACCACTGTCCCAGAGCTGCTGTTCCAGTGAACAGAGCACTGAGTCTGTATTTAACTCACAGGTTGGTTTCATGTGATCACTATGGCAATATGAATATTGATTTGTTAAACAGCATTCATTGTCTCCTGTTCTGTGTGCTACAGTTCAACAATAAAGGGAAAGTTGGTTTGGTTTCAATTTGCCACTGCCAAAGGCTTAAAGAGTATCAATCTCTTACCAAGCTTCACTGCAAAATGCAACTTTACTAGAGAGTATCTCAGAAGGCTGAAAGAGAATGAGTACGGATTGAGAGCAGGGAAGTATTTTCTATAACTGTAGTTATTTATTAATTGTTTTTAACAGCCATTATATGCTCAATTAACTATTCACTCGGCGACTTCTGCAGGTCAAATGAGAAAAGGTGAAGGGAGTAATGTAAAAGCCAGAAAATTCATGAAATACATTTGTCAGTTCTGAACAGAAAATATTGAATTCAGACTGGCTTAGAAAAAAATCTGCAAAGCTCTGAAATTCAGGAGGATTCATCTGCTTAGGTGATGATAAGTTTAGTTTGGGCTAAGAAATGCAAACAAGGAAGCTCTGGATTAGCAAGTGAACAAAAAGCTTTAGCACATAGAATGGATGAATAGTGGCTCCATGTCTGTACATATATACACACAGTAGGGGTTTTCTATACACTGTACAGAATATATTCAGGCAGAGGTATAAACATATACATTCATACACACATACATACAGCTATGTACATATGCATCAGCTGCTCGAGTGAGTTTTACAACTGAACATGCAGAAATGCACAGTGGTGGGAGGCACAAAATAAAGACAGGTACAACTCTATGAAACCCTTTAAAAAGAAAGGAGACAGGCATGAATTTAACAATAATAATAAGCCATTTTCAAAGCATTCACGTAACTCAGAGGATTGAACAGGCTGTGGGGATTATAGAACATCATGACAGTATTACCTGTGATGAACTTAGTGTATGACTTCACAACAAAAAACTCAGTAATAAGATATTTCTAGTCTTTGATGTTTTCCAAGTCCAATATATTTAGAGCATCTAAAGTTTACCAAAAAATTGTACTTTAACTTGCAACCTCAGTATAAATAAAGCTTTAAGTTTTCTTCAAAAATAATTCCCACCATAATGTTGATAACATTGATTGCAACTGAAGTAGGGTTGTAGCATTATCTAACAAGAGGGGTTAATGACATTTTTCATCAAACAATAAACCTGAATTTAGTTCAGGAATATTTACTGTTAAAACAACTCAGAAACTTCAGAATTAAAAGGTGCAAAAAGTAAATGTTTTCATTTTCTTCCCTTTGCCATGCCCTCATAGTAACTTTTTTCATATAAAGCTGTTTCTTAAACTAATTTTCTGTCCCTCAGGATTGAGCAGATGCTGGCAATCTGTCCTCTGCTCATCCCTCTCCTCCCTAGGGTGACCATGGCCTCAGCAGGACTGCAGCTGTTGCGTGCTGCTCTCACAGCTGGCCCATGCTCATCACCAGAGCCAACCACTGCAAAAGCTCTTCTGTGGCTGTGTGGGTCAGTGTGGCAAAGCCCTGAGACAGATGGGAACCTACCTGTGTTTGCTGGCATTTCTGCTTTTTCTCCTATGGATGAGAGTAGGTGAAAAAAAACCCAACCTACCCTGGTTTTGCACTCTAAAGAGTAACTGGAGGGGAAGAAAGGGATTTCAAACAGAAAAATCAACATTTTTTTTTTCTTTTCAGGATATCATCCAGTAGGTATCTGCTGGTACACCTGTGCACGTCTGACTGACTTGCCAGTTCCACTGCTCACAGCACTTGATTCCAACAGGGCCCTACCTCGTGCTGTCAGTGCAGGAAGCTGCTTTGGCACTGCTTGGGCAGTATCCTCAGCACAGTAATTCCCACTTCCATCTTCCTGGCTAAACTGCATTCCCAACACCATTTGCTACTCATGCTATTTGGTGCCTTTTTTTTTTTTTTTTAATTATCTCTTACTAGTTAAACAGCAGGTGATCCTAACTACTGTCTTAATTTTAATAGGCAGGAAAATCTACTGACATCTGCAATATCCCGGCTGAACTCACTCAGGAATCTGTGAGTCCTGCGTACTATACACAACAATAAAAAACCACAGAAGTGTTTTACAGTCTCTGTCAAAGGAGAAACAAGAGTCAGGAAACTACTTTCACCTGGAAGCTTCATCCCTGACTTGGTTTCTCTGTCGCAGCCTCAGAACGTGCCTTTGCCAAAGGGGACTGGAATGGCAATGCAGAGCCAGCTGGATTCTGCAGAGACCTTGAGTCAGAGCTCTCCACTGGAGCCACTGTGGCTGCCTGGGGAACCAAGGGCTTCAGAAGATGGTAAAAGGAGGGTTGGTAAATGACATCACGTGGAGACCAACAGTAGTTTCTTGCCCCAGAGTGCTCTGAAAACTAGGCCGCTCTAATAATCTAACATTTTAAGGCAGCTAAAACAAAGGCTTGCATGATCCCTTAGAAGGATCTCTCCCTGAAGATAATTTTTTCCTCTTCTACCAGTTTCATGCCAGAGTAACTCCACTGACACCAAAAGCATTGCAGCTTTTGTAAATTGTAAATAGCCAGAGAAAGAGGACTTTTACACATGGTGTTAGTTGTGTGTCTCTCTAGTCCAATATAAGTAAATAAAGGGAAGAAAAGTAGTATACCTTCTTGCACTTGTCACAAATGCAATAAAAATCAGTAGTATAAAGCTAGCCCAAAATGCTTTTTACCTACAAGATGCAAATCCAGTTCCTTCTCATAAGTTGGAAAACAAATGAAGCACACGGACAATGGACATTATTGCCTCATTATCATTCCCTGAATGTCCCAGTTTCAGTGAGCACAGAATTTTAACATTTGTTTGAATGAATTATGACTAATATACACATTTGCTCGAGTTCAGATAAATCTAATCAGATAGTTTATCACTGTATTTCTACCGAGTTAAAATATTTTTATTTCAAGAGCTGCAGAAACAGGACCTCAAAAATTCTGGAGAAAGTAAATTTTAGGCACTAAGTAGAGCTTCAGTGAGATGAACTTTTCTTAGAATCACTTTGCAGCTGTGATCCTTTGACTCCAAGTTTTACACATACAAGTTTAGTATTTAAATTTGGCCTTTAGGAAAACAATATTTAATAATCAAGAAAGTTTTTCAATAATTGTTACAATAATAAAAAACTCTCCTGTCCCATATCCATAAGGAAATGTTTGCCCTTTCAAAGGAAAAACAAAATAAAATTAATTTAAAAGTAAAGCTACTAAGATTAGCCTGTTACCATCTTCCAGTCATTGCAGAAGGGATGAAACAAAGCTCAGAAATTACAAGAACTACATCAGCCTTGTATTTTGTGCAGAGACAGTGTAAAACTTGGCTGCAGCCGTACTGTGTGCACTGTTCTACCTTCCTTATGTCAAAGCAGCCTAAAAGTCCAGTCATCAGAAGAGGCTGAAAATAATGTTAAAGGTTAATACATAGAGCCCAAATGACTTTCTGAGGCTCATTTTCCTTAGATGTGCCTTTTCTACTGCTACCAAACAATGCCTATACTGTTGGCAGAAAATTCCTTCATCAGTTCTGTGCCTCTTGAAGATCTATCTTCTGATGGATGTACAAGGAAAAGAAGATTTTTTTGAGCAAGCTAAAATAGCTCCACTGCTACATGACACCCAGATCACCGCTAGATTAGCAGCTCCACTGCTTGATGCACCACCAGGTCCTGCTGCCACCAAGAGGGATTGTGACAGGTTGAAGAAATGGGCTGGCAGGAACCTCAGGAAGTTCAAAGAGAGGAAGCACAAAGTCCTGTCTCTGGTGAGGAACAAGCCCAGGCACCCACATATGCTGGAAAGCAGGTCAGCAGAAAAGGACCTGCAGGCCCCAGGGGACACCAAACTCAACATGAGTCAGGAACACTCCCTGCTCTGCTGAAGGCTAATGGTGTCCTGGGCTGCATCAGGCAAAACATCGCCAGCAGGCTGAGGGAGGGGATCCTCCCCCTCTACTCAGTACTGGTGGGGCCACACCTGGAGGGCTGTGTCTGTACAAGAGAGACAGGGACATACTGCAGAGAGTTCAAAAAAATGATGATAAGGGACTGGAGCATCTCTCCCATGAGGAAAGGCTGAGAATGCTGGAACTGTTCAACCTGGAGAAGGCTCAGGGAGGATCTCCTCTATGTGTACAAGTACCTGGAGGGTACAAAGAAGACAGAGCCAGGCTCTTCTCAGGGCTGCCCAGTGACAGGACCAGAGGCAGTGGCCACAAACTGAAACACAGGAGGTTCCCTCAAACAGCAGCAAACACTTTTTCACTCTGAGGGTGACCAAGCACTGGCACAGGTTGCCCAGGGAGGTTGTGGAGTCTCCATCCTTGGAAATGTTCAAAGGACACCTGGACACAGTCCTTGCCAACAGGTGCTACATAGCAGTAGCACCTGAGCAGAGTGGGTGGACCACATGACCTTCAGAGATTCCTTCCAACCTCAACTAGGTTGTGATTAAAGTTGAAACTGAGTGCAAAGCAGCCCTACTGCACTGGAGAAGATGGTTTATACTTTTGTATAGCAGTGTTTTAAGTGATTCCTTTCAGTGTGTCTCCATCAGATGCCAAATTTTTGTCCCACTTTTACAACAGCCCTTAACCGGAATGTGAGAAAGAAGTCTTAGGTTACTCATCACAACTATCCTTTTATTTATAGCTAATATTCAAATATACAAAAAGTTTTAGATTCTGAATATTTCTTCAGCCCTAGGAACTTGCCATCATAGTCCAAATTTCTACAATCCAAAATGTTAGTCTTGGAACCAAAATAGTGTATAGTCAGAAAAAGCCCTTTTTGTTAATGGCATCAGGACTAACTAGTTTGGTTCTGACTACTGAAAGCCAGCAAATCATGCTGATAATGCTATGGAAAGAGAGACTTTATAGCTTTTAGGTGGTAATATCCGAATCTTAATTATGGAACTGCTTAATTTCATCTATTAAATGCATGCACAATAAATAAAACCTAACTATGATTGCATGGTTGCTACTCAACTTACAAAAATTAATATTTTATCCCTAACAAGCAGGGAACTATTTGCAGAGTAAGCGACTACCAGAGTTTGATCAAGGAGATCATTATGTGGACTTGCATTTGTGGGGAGTGTAGTTTATTTGTAAACAGAGCTGCATGATACTCACCATTTTGGTTTACAAATGTAATGCAAGGCATATATTTTAAATTTTATTTCATGTGATCCCTCTGTTCCCAAAAAAATTGTAATGCCTTTATTTTGTTTGCTGAACTGTTATGATCACAGCACAAGTAATAAAAATTAGGAAAATATTTTTGTATAGAAAATGAGGCCCTTTTACTTGAAAAATCAGAAGTTGAAATGATGTTTGCAAAGAAAAAGCCATCTGGTGTGTTTAGATTAAAAACAAATATTACAATGGCTAGTTTTTGTGCTAAGGAATATTTCATTTGCCACTAACAATGCTTACTTATCTGCTTAAATGATTTTTATGAAATACTGAAAGCAAATCAAACTCCATAATCTCTTTTTTGCAATGAAAAATATCACAATAGTTCAATGCATTCTGCTTTTAGAACTATGACATAACCGAATAAAATTTTAAATTTTAACAAAAATGGCCCCAACTCTTTCCAAGGCAGGTACTGCTTCTGATGTTAATAGCACCATTGATTTTAAAGTTGTGTACCCTTAACAAAGGGACTGTGCATCAGAAGTTCTGACACAATCCCACCAGCAGGGACACCACAATCAAATGGTTGGTACTCAATTCTGCAGTCCAGCTAACTTCACATACAGAGGGTAGATCTTCCATCACATTAATAACATGACAATTTCATTTGCTATAGCAAAAGCCAGGAGAAATAAAAGTGCAATATTACAAATCTCTGCATGTATATTGAACTATTTGTAACACCCTTCTGAGAAGACTCTAAATGCACTAACAATGGTAACTGTAAAAGACATTAATGCATCCAGAAGTTAAAATTAAATAGCTTTCTGTTCCACACTGAGTGCTACAAATGTGAGCCCCCTAATGAGCATGAAGTATACCAGGTCAGGACTTTTTATTACTTCAGAAGCCTCACCTAGAGCTGCTTAAGATCTTTTAGCTCCAATTCAGACTCTGAAAGACATGAACACCAACCTGGTTGATGTTTCTAAATAAATATGAGTAACAGAAGAAAAACAAAAGTGCTGAACATATAATCAGATTTTTGTCACATAAAACTACAAAAGTAAAAATGCCTCTACAATACAAATAATTAAAATATTTGATGAATCTAATGAGCCAGGATCAGATGAAAGTATTAATTGCCATGACATTTTTTAAAAAACTTTGATTGTTTAAAATACTTGAATTCCATAATAATAAATTATACTAAAATGAAAGCTGTTAGCAGCTAATGACCAATACTAGAAGACATGTTGATGGCTTATCACTCGAGACAATTAAAAAGTAGTCCATTTTATAACTCCATGATGTATCAGTCATTAACTGCAATCGTACATGACTGAGAGTAAATCCTAACTATATTTTGGTTTCAAACCGAGTCACAGGAAGGTCGAGAGCACTGCAAAACCGGGAGTGCTCAGTGAGGGAGGGAGAAGGAGGTGGGAAGTTAATAAAGTGAGAGAGAAGGAGGTGGGAAGTTAATAAAGTGAGAGAGCTTTGTAATATACTCTTGCTGACAGCCACAGGTTCTACACATTTCAGGTTTTAAATCGTACCTGTGACTGGATGATGAGGGTATTCAGGAGTATAGAGAGAAGTAGTAAATTTGAAAATATAAAGAGCATACTAAAAAGCATCACACAGCTCTACTTGAAAATTATTGTTCTTCCAGTTAATGACTGATTTTCCCCACAGTCAAAAGGCTTGATTTCAGAATAACACGTGTTGTGATTGTGTTGGTCTGAATACACACTTTAAGGAACCCGAATATTTCATCATTACTGTGGCAAGAAACACTTTTTTTCCTCTTAGTGTGGGGTAATTCTTGTAGCACATAATAGTTACTATGACTGCATTGTACTATGAATTACAACTGCACTAATTTAACAGTGTATAGTTTCATATAATGTGGATGTCTGATTTAAGAATCCACATTAATATTTCATGCATAATAACATAAGAGCAAGTGACTTTTTGTAGATAAATGATTGTCTCCTATAGCATTCTACCTTTTCACAAAAATCACTGGCATTTTGACTAAGGACATAAGCATTTTTTTCATTTTCCATACTCATAAGCAGGATGTTGATGATGCTGTCACTTTGACAAGAAGTGATTACAAAGTGCTAGTATTATACCCTGGCATTTACTAGACATTAATTCCAAGGATATTTTTAAATATATACATACTGTTCTTTTTACTTTTAAAGTAATTTTATTACTAATCTCTGATATTATAAAACTCTTTTTAACCACTGATAATTTCTAAATACAAAGCATGTGAAAAGTATGTTCAGTAATCTATAGCCTTTTAAATGAAAGGCAGCAAAAATATTCCTTGTGGCAGAAAAGGTTCTATAGCAGGTCTTTTAGTAGCTGCTTAAATTTTGTCAACATCAGGAAAGAGACAAGGAGAAATCTGTTCAGGAAACTGATAACAAGTTGGAATTATCTGCACAAGCCAAAATGCTATTCTTTTAACTTCGTAATTATATGTTTTTTACGAAAATTACTTCGATCCACTGAATTGCATTGTTCCCACTATGGAGATGTGCCAGTTATTTGACCATTATATTCTGCTGTTTCCATTTTGAGAATGTAGGGGATTATGCTGTCAATGGGAACATTTCCAATGAGACCAGTAAAAAACAGTTCCTCGGTAATGCTAGAGCTCATCAGCCTAAGTGCTGGCAGGCGAACTAGGATCCGGGCTAGCCTGAAAAAGAAGGTCAGTGGATTATAAATACATATAAAACCAGCTTAAGATACCTTGTGGCTAAAGACCTGAATCTGCTTTTATTATTACCTTAACTCATAAACGGGAGTAAAGAAGCAATTAAAGGTAATTGGCTGCCACAAAAAAATGGCCACCTTTCTATGCTGCGAGTGAAATGAAAAGCCACCAAGTAGTTTTGTGGTTTGCCAATGAAAGAGACATGTTAATGCCCTTTGTAGGCAGAACATGTATGTACAAACACACAATTCTCTTGGCCTGCTTTTGAAATTCCCAACTCTGGAAGGACAAGATGAGACTAATAGTATTCACATTGATTAGTGTGAACATTTGCACAATTTTAAGAGTAAAATGCTTAATTAAAATTTCAGCCATAAACAGCATAGTACTCAGTTGCCTAGCAACTTCATGCCAAACCAGAGAGCAAGAACAGGACTGAATATATATAAAAGGAAAAAAGAGAATTGGCTTCTAATGAGAAAAGGAATTTGGGGTGATGTGCTGTTAAGCACACACATATTGCCAAATGCTGTGGGGTTTTATTTACCAGGATGTTAACAGATACCTAATATAACAAAGTGATTGTAGTGAGTTGCTGGACTTTCCATGCATATGAAATTAAGGACAGTGATGAAAGCAGTTTGCTGTCATTTATATGGCAGATGTACATCATGAATGCCAAATCAAATAAATTTTCTGAACGAGAACTACGTAATAGCAAACCTTAGGTAGCACTGACCACAGGTGCTCTGGAAAATGCTTGAATATCTATGGACAAAATACATAAGGTCCATTCTGCTAATATACCATATCTTGTAAACTTTGGGGCAAAACTGAAAAAAGATTCAAGCTGTGCTGTTGATTCTGTGAAACTTATAACTCTTGTCTTCTATCTCAATTTGTGGCAGTATTCAGTTGCTCAGAAATAATCAGATTTGCTCTCTACACTTGTCTATGGGTGAGCATGGAGATATAGACACTATCAGTCAAAATACAGATTACTGCTTGTGAAATGTAACTGATTTTCTTCCCTGAGCCACTATTAAGAGAAGTAAGTCTATGGAACAAATTCTGTATTTATTTTTATGGCAACTATCCAGCTCTCACAAATTAAAACAGAATGACTGAATTGTACACAGCAGAATGTGGGATTTGAGGATATTTCTGAGGTAGAGAATCTCATCTTCACTGCACCACACAATGTTAACTCTGTAAGATCAGTGCAGAAACCAGAGAAGCTCTCTTCTTTACAGACAGGTTTGGGTTTTTTTCTTTTTTTTTTCATTACATCACCCTCAGACCTTGCCTAAATGTATGGGATTGCTTCTTTAGATGAGGATACCTTTCACAGAATACACTGTTAGACAGAAGTTAGAATTTGTCTGGTAATGCAAAAAATCATTGTGTTGATGAATTTTGAAACAGTTTTGATGGAGATTGTTAGAAAATAGGATAACCATTTCTAGCAAATAAGAAACAGAAACAATTGAGGGGCGAAAAAACCAACCTAGATAATTTAAAAGATTATCTACCTTTGAAACTAATAAAAAAAAAGAAGCTAAAGGAGAAAATAAGTAGGATGTGGGAATTTCTTACAAACAGAAGCTTAAGAGTTGGTTACTCTTCCCTGTCACATGTAATCCTTGCTTTTCCAAGACCTATAAACTGGCAGTTTTAACACTTCTCTGCATATGTAACTTGAAAAACATTTAAAGGATGATAATCAACTTTTAGTCATCAAAGAGGTTTTGAGATAATAACTCAAAAAACAAGGCAGCGTGAACTAAAGTTTGAGTCAGCTGAAGCAGTTGTTCTCAAGACTTCTAATAAAGTCTGTTTACTTTTCTAAACATGACAACGAGGCTCAAAGAAACCCCTCAAAACCCAAGAAAATACTCATAAATTAAATTTACATGGAAGAAGTTAGACAGCTGTTCTTGCTTCTACGTATCTTTAAACAATCTTTTTGCTTAACCAAAACCTGCTTGCTTTTATGAATGAGATTCTAGTTCTTTTTCATCAACAGCCAATAAACCCCCAGATGTCAAAAAGGAAATTTTTTTACATCAATGATGTTATTTGGTACTTTTGTTAGCTACGGCCCACAATGTTACTTTGGATACTATAGACAATAAATACCTATAAGTATCTTCTGGATAGGTTTTTTGTACATAGTCCTGCAATTCCATCTGTGCCTTCTCCTGGAATTTTTCTATTTGGGTTGAACTGGTCAGACCAGGATGATCTAAAGAAACAAAACATTTCTGTATGTCGATTGGTTCCCTATACATTGTGAAAGAGATGTACTTATAAGATTCTCACATTTCATTTCAATGAAATATTTCTCTGGTATTGTGATGTTTAACATGTTAGCTGTATAAAGGAAACCACTCAGTTGAACGTTTGCTTCTTGGCTTCAGAATTAGCTTGCTCACTTTTCTCTCCATAGTCATGTGTTATTCACAAGAAAGTGGACAAAGATTAAGCCTGTAGGTATGTACCAGGCAATGATACTCTGAGCTTATGTTTCTAACCTTGTTGGTTTAAATTTAAATGTTTGCCTCTGTGATTTTTCTAACCATGCTGACTGAGCAATACCTAGGGTTGTTTTCTTGACGAATCAATTTCTTAACCTTCCCAAGTCTGTCTCATGTTTTAATTCCAGCTGGCTCAGCTCCTCAGACAGTCAGGTGATCTGAGAAAAAACCCAAACCCAGAAAATATCATCTATCTTACTATGCCCACATATCTTCATTGTGTCCAAACTGCTTGTCCCTTGAAATAGGACAGAGCTACCTCTGGAGAGTTTGGAGAGTTTCTCGCTTTAACAACTTGAATAAAAACCCTACTAAACCTAATCCTAATGGGACAATCTGCAAAAACAAACAAAAAAAAGGCAAAAGAACATTTTAGGACACCAATATCTTCTAATTAAGTTTTATTACAAAAAGAAAAATAATACTAATGTAAAAAAAAAAAAAACCAAACAAAAAAACCAACACACCAATAAGAAGATATCCCTTTCCTTTTTATTTTGTTAAATTCAGGGTGGTAAATACCTTAATAAATAATATACATTTCTGAATAAGTTTCCCTTTCACTCAGCCTGTCAGCAGTTTTAGATTAACCTTTCTGTGTCCTAGAAACATTTTTCCACCTTTGCTGAAAAGACTGTCACTTCCAATTTCTTTAATATCCTTACCTTACCATTCCAGAAAATCAAGTGTCTTCTTTGAGTAAATCCTCATATCTCATAAAAACTTCATTATACTTTAGTTGTCTGCTGTAATTTTTTTGGTAACAAATGGAAGACAGCCTATTTACATTTAGTTTCAGAGATTTTGTGGAATTTTCATATAAAATAGAGTGGTATTTCTGCTCATATTTCAGCTAGTCCTCTTATGAGAGTATAAAAATTGAAGTAAATTTCTTTTTGTTACTCCGAGAATGTATTTCCTCTAATCCTTCCCACCATTTACTGCATTAATATTGCTACTACACACATCCCAGATAACTTTTTACTCATAGATTCCCAGATGAAGGTAACTTGAGAGTCTAGTCTTCCAAGTAGATGTACAGGAAACACCTGACATATTGGAACTGTAAATAACATGGATATGTTGCTTCAAAGTTATTTTAAAACACATATTGTTTGTGGTAATCATTATGAAACAATCATTTTATCTGCAACTTACCAGATTAGTCTCATCTCAAGACATTAGTCTCATTTAAAAATTGCTAAAACGTTAACATACTAATGCTTATTATTTAAAGAGATATGGTTACTAAATTCCTTACCAGGGCTAAAAAGGACTATAGCTTTAAGGTATGCATATTCATATCCATCAATATCAAGCTTGGCCATGCTGTTACAGAACTCCTGAAGTTTCCAGATGTGTTCCATGACTTGCTTTATTCTGTCTCCAGAAAGTTTATCTGCAAAAAGATATTGCTTACTATTTCATGTGAGCTCAAGCACTTCTGATATATCAACAAATACACTTTTATAAACCAAGTCAAGCAATATTTTCAAGTCTTTCACTGTCTTAAAACCACTTAACATATAAGGATGGCCTAAATTATTATGGAAGCAAAGATTTATAAAGTTGAGTGAAAGACAGGGCTAGCAAACAGAATGTTAACTCTTCTGTAATTTTGCCAGGATAGCATAATCTGCCACACCAATCTTTTTCCAGTGATGTAACTACCACAGTAGATACCCTCAGGTATCTCTGTGAGGTCAGTGCAACAGAATTATAGATCACCAGAGGAAAGGTAATTATGCAAGAGAAGGCTTCACCTTCCCCTCGATCCAGGTGAACAATTTCGCCACTGATTAGGAAACATGTCATGAGAAATGTTATACAAATCTCTGTATTGTTAGCAGAACTGAAAACATACCTTCTTGTATGCTGTTCTGGAGGTGGTTGACAATAGCTCCCAGGATGGTAGACAGGCTCATCACCTGTGCACACTGTGCCAGGCCTAAGGTAAACAGTTCATTCCAGCAGGCACGCACAAGGCTTGTGTTACAGTCTTGCCTGTAAACAGCAGAAAGTCACCTCTAGGTAGTTTGCATATCAGGTTGGTATTACCCTATGTGTAATTATGTTATTTATAACAATTAATAATAAGGATTAATGCATTGCAAAACATCTTACTAAAAGGCATGTATTAATATATTACTAGTATTTCAGAAAGCAAAAAGAAATTACATACAAACTACAGGAAACCATTTAAGGTTATCTGTGAAATGGTGCTCATCAGTTCTTTAGCAAGATATCAAAAACAACCACTTAATTTTTACAAATTCTTACTTTTGATTTGCCTTTAGTTTCTGTAACCACACAGTAACATCAGACATTGTAGTTATCCTCCCCTCTGCCCTCTTCTATTTTATTCTTTGAAACAGAGAATATTGCATAGCCTTCGCACAGTTTAAAAATGCATTAAAAATTAAACAATATCATAACTAAAAAATTCAAAATAGCTGAAAAGTGTTCAGATCAGTGCTTAAATTCATTCGAAAGCAAACTGTTCAAACAGGATATGTCCACTAACCCAAGAGCTTGAAAAGCAGGTATGGACCTAGCCCAGTGCATAGAGAGGAAAAGGAGTCGTGATGCTGACTCACAGATGTAGTGCACATTAAGGTACTCTGGCATCGGGCTGGGCATTGTCAGCTGCAAAAAATACAAGTACAGTTCAGACACAAACTGGTTTTTATTATCGATGAAATAACCAGCAAAAACATTCAAACTACTCTCATAGTCAGTCACAAGCAACTGTGTGACAAGAAATCATCGAATGAAAACTATGCCAAATAACTCATTACTGTGGGCAAGGAATGCAAATTGGGAATAGCAAGCAAGAAATTATGTGGGAGAGCGCTCATACATCTTAAGTGTTAGTTTGATGTTAGTAAGATGTTTAAAGAAGCACATACCTTAAATGTGACATGTGTATCTGTAAGTAGGGGTCCTTCCACTTCAATAATTGGTGTTGACTGATCTCTACTGATTACATGAATATTCCCTCCTCCTGTAGGATCCATCCCATCTGCCAAGGTATGAGCTGCTGTACCATCTGTGGTATTAAGTGCTTTAGCCAAAGTATCAAATGCCCTTAAAAAATAATAAATAAATAAACAATGAAAAAGCGCTTCCTTACACCATAAAAAAATTCAGAGTAGTGCGCAAATTAAACACTATAAAGCATTTCCACTTATAGAGGTAACATACACAGGAACTGTTTATGCTAAGACACAAGGTCCAACTTTTCATTACAATCTGGTCCCTCTGCACTCTCTGGACATTAATAAAAGGAACAGAGCTGCCCACATATCACTGGTAAGAGATCTCCCCTGTAGGGGAGGATTTACTACTGTAAATCCCGCTCTGATAGTTTTATCCTAGTATTTGTACTAGTAAAGGAGTCTTGTGCTGTGCTGGTTTTGGCTGCGGTAGAGTTAACTTTCTTCATTGTAGCTAGTATGGGGTAGTGTTTTGGATTTGTGCTGAAAACAGTGTTGATAACACAGAGGTGTTTTTATTACTGCTGAGTAGGGCTTGCACAGTGTAAAGGCCTTTTCTGCTGCTTGTGCCACCTTCAGTGAGGAAGCTGGGGGTGCACAAGAAGTTGGGAGGGGACACAGCCAGGACAGGTGACCCCAACTGATCCAAGGGGTACTCCATACTGTATGATGTCATGCTCAGTAAATAAGGTGGGGGGACGTTTGGAGCGATGGCTTTGTCTTCTCAAAGAACTGTTACATGTGATGGGGCCCTGCTGTCCTGGGGATGGCTGAACACCTGCTGCCCATGGGAAGCAGGGAATGAATTCCTTTGCTTTGCTTATGTGTGTGGCTTCTGCTTCACCTACTGACCTGTCTTTATCTCAACACGAGTTTTCTCATTTTCACCCTTCTGATTCTCTCTCTGATCCCACTGGTGGGGGAGTGAGCGAGTGGCTGAGGGGCTTAGTTGTTGTGTGGGCTTAAACAATTCTTTTGCACTTACCATTCACTATCCTCCCCTTTCTCACCTTCTCACACACTAGGTGAGGATTACAAACCAGATGTTCTCTGGAGAACAGAATTCCTGTCCTTGTCCCTGTTCTTGATGTCCAATTTTTTGGAACAGTGGAGAATAATATGGTTCTCTTCTAGACAACGGGCCTGAATTTCTTTCCCTTAAGAAGAGATATGGGCAGGCACTCCTGATCTCACAGTACAGTCAGAGCCTTAGAACTCTTATGACAGTAACATGAGAGTCTGGCCCCTGGACTCCTTTTTACTCACGCTGTTGTTGGATCAGTGCCCAAATAAAGCACTGTGAATTCCCTTAGGATAACAGAGTTTAGATGTAAAGAAAAATTTTGTGCTCCAATTTCATACCCGTGGACAGTATTACAGTACAGTGCTGTTTTGCCACTACTTTTATCAAGATGTTTCGGGGCCGGTTTTCTGGAATTTTATTTCTTTTTACTTTAAAGAAAGAGTACGAGGTTGACAAAGTCGAAGTTGCGGTGTCCAGTATTTTTAAATATCAATTCATTTACTTGAAGAGTATAAATAAAAGACTTAAAAGCCTTAGTTAAACTCCTCTTAAAAATCTTCTTTTTGAGAAACAATGGACAGCTATGAGGCCAAGTATTTTTCTTATTTTCCTATACTGCTAAATTCAACCTAACCCCCACTCCCCCACAAAAAAAACCCCAACAAAAAAACCCCAGCCATGCAAATCCAAGCTCTGCTGGAAATTTTAATATTTCATTTTCCTTTTTCACATTTTTTTATTAATAAAGACAACAAAGACTTTAAACTCTTTCTAAACCTATATTACTAGCAGGTTTTTGGCAGTACAATCTCAAAAATAAATCTGAAGTAATAAAGACCCCTAAAGAGCAGGGCTAAGGGCATAAGCATTGCACAGAAGAACCTTACATAAAACATGCCTATGAAATTGAACAGCACTGAAGTGTTGCTATTCTCAGAGTCTTTCACGGTCACAAACTAGTAATTCATTACTTTTCTGAGAATGAAATCTGAGCTAGCTTCAGAAAACCGTATTTGTAACGCAGGACACAGTTCTTCACAAGAGGACAACAGCCAAACTTGATTCCTAAAGAATCAGTTTTGTGTTTCAAAGTAGGGACAATCTGTACTCTGTCTGCTGTCACAAAACCAAATTCCTTCAGTGAATGAGTGTAAGGATACATCATACAGAACACAAATTGTTAAATAAAATGCAAATATAATGCATACCGTGTAATCTCACTTGCGGATTGCTCTTCTTGCTGAACTTCAGAAGTATCTCCATTATTTAGTGACTCACTGAGATTAGCAAGAGATGTTACAACATTTGCTAGTGTTCCTAAAGCACCCTGGCTTGTTTCAGCCTAAAAAGGAAGAACAATATTAGTAGATCAAAATTATAGTTGATGTATCATATATAAATTCTTCCCATTTTTAATCTTTTTGCATTTTTTCCCTTATGTACCTTTTCCTTCCTCCTGAACGCCTACAGGAAGAACAATGGCTTTCAATGATCTTTAAATCCTACTGTAATTATCAATCCTAGTCCCAGAGGAGGTATCATAAGGGCAACTACCTGTGGCTGACCTTTTGCAGAAACATACTTGTGAAAAGAAACCACATTTCTATTGATCAGTTTATTACCTCCCTTTGTAAAGCTCTTTGGACTTACCATGACCTCTTCTCAAGAGTAACAACTATTTAAGTCTACATACAATAGCTAAAATAATCTAAGCAAATTAATATGTGTGTTCAGAACTGAACTGAAAGAGTAATACCTTGGAGTCAGCAGCTAGGAGGACTGTACCATCATCCCTGATCAAAGGCTGCTGAATATTTACAAGCATTCCAGGATCAAGAAGTCCTGCTGACCTGTTCAAAAGCATAAGGCATCTGATAGTATTTTACATTAATCAGAAGAATGTGTAACTACCTATGACAGAATAAAACAAGTTTTTAAATTAACAGTTTAATGAAGCTCACAGTTTATTCATCAGGACTTCAGTCTTTCTGAAACAGTTTCCAAAAAGTAGCTTGAAAGACAGAAAGACTGGAATATCTTTTCCTTTCCTGTGCAAAAGCAATGACAACTTCCCAAATACATATCCTCTCATTTGCTTTGTATTCTGGTTTATTCTGCTTTAAGAAAAGTTGTCTTCTCATGCTCTCAGAAGTCACCTAGTAGCTCTCAAGTTATACATTGCACTTTGGAGGAAGGCATAACTGTGCATTCCAAGTTAGACAATGGACAGCACTGAAGAAAAAGTCATGGAAGTATATTTTACATTCCAAAATACAGTTAAAAACAATCACGCAATCAAGGTCTGCATAAAATCTCTGCTGCCTTTACTTCTGCTACATTTTGATCAAACATCCTTTCCCTTTGCTGTATCTAATTTAGGGAGACAGCAGAAAGTCTTTGCAAGAAGTTTATTTGTTACTTAAGTGATGCTCCAAGTCTCCATAATACAATACCAATGCACGCAACACAGGTTAAGGTTGCAGCAAGTTATAGTGAATGAGCACAGGCTGCAAATTATCATGCATTATGCAAATCTGAACCCTACATAAATAATAGTTGTACTTAATGATTATAACATTGTTTATAGGTCTGTAAGGGATCTATAGCTTCTCAAAGAAGCAAATGTGTCTGTGAGCACTTTTGAATAATCTGACTTGCGAATGAGAACACTGAAAAACCATTCTTAAGAAATTTGCAGCCCAATCTTCTTAACTGCAGTATCACCAATCTTCTTAACTGCAATGTCATTTGTTCAACAAAGAATATATACATATTAAATTAAACAATTATATATATATGAAAACTGAATAATAAGATCCAATTTTTTAGGTAGTTCTTAACCATTTGTAAACTACAGTTTTAGAAATGTCATATTTAACCTAGAGTTCTTTTTTATTCTATTCAGAAAGAGACAAATCTTGCTTCTGCAGTCATGTGCATTTCCACACCCACCGCCTTTGGAGACATCTGAGAGCGCAGGAACCATCTTGGAGCATCTCCCACATAGTAAAAGAAAGCTGCTGTTGTTTTGCTGTTGTTGAAAACAATCTCTTGGGGTTGGAATCAGCAGTCACTGCAATCTCTTTTACTACTGTCTTTAGGAGAAGGAAGCAAGGAAGTCCAAGTCTGCCACTAGCAGATCTGATTTCAGAGAAGTGCTAACCCAAATGCATCACAGAATTAGCCCACATGCTTTTTGCCTGAATATCATTTACTTGCCCTGCCTTTGCTCTGACCTGGCTGGACAAGAGCCAGCTCTGAACTGAAAACCGTACACTTGTACTCAGACATAAAAACTTCCATGAAAAGCAGAACCTAAATTGGGCTTGGTAATGGAAAAAGATGATGTATGAATTAGAGCTCTTCTCTGTCCAATTCTTTAGAGGGAAACAAAATACATACATGAATGCGAAGTAATATACACAAATAACCTGGAAGAAGACATGAGCAACTGAGGACTCACCGTGTCCCATCTTTATCTGCCACAAACGTTGGAGTTGCTATAAGAGGGCTTCGCAGATCCTTTCTTATATAGATTTTTTCAGTAGAAGCTGCACAGTTGGTTGGTTTTTCACGTTGCACATCAAAAGGCTTTCTTTCACTTTGAACCGCTACATAAAGACAAAACCATTCAGATTTGAAAGGAAATAACTCAAATGAAAAATACAAAAAGAAAGTAAAATTCTCAGTTATGATGGTGTACCAGCTCAGTGCAAAACTAGAACTTTAATACAAAGAGTGAAAAAACACAGGTTCCAATTTTACTCTGCCTGTGAATATGTGTATTTTTAACTAAGAAGGTCACAGATTGATCTTTAGTTTGAAGTTTTGCTGAACTGGAGTCAAATCTTGCTATTTTCTTTTGCATTTAGTAAGATGGAGTATTCTACCGGTTGTGTTTTCAATTTGTTTAATTATTTGTTTTTTACAGGGAAAGCTATACCTAAATGTTAGCCACATTCCTACTCTGGATGACTCAAAACAATGCAAATCCAGAACGAACCCTGAAAAAGTCAAGACAGGCAAGTTCCGTGAGAGATGCAGGCTAATTCCCTGACAGTCTCCACATATCCATTCATTCCACCCAATTAGGGAACAGTGTTCCAAAACTAACCCTTTCATAATTTATAATATTTCTACTTGATAATTGAAAGAAAATAGGCTCAGTTTCCAATGTGCTGAACAAGTGAGGCAAATTTTTAACAGAAATAATAAGAAGCAGTAACTTTGCAATTTTAAAGAAAAAGTGCATCTTTATAATATAAAAGTACTATTATTAAACATATTACATAAAGTTATCTGAAATCTAAGTCACTGAACTTTACAAACTCTTCTATAACTTGGCATAACATTGGACTGCATGGATTTTTCACCTAAAAATGAGGATGCTAAAATGAATAATAGACTACAAGAATTTTTAAGTCTTGTATTAATATTAATTCTCACAACACTATGCCCATGTAAGGCATAATATAAATGAAGACAATATTTCTGTGCTATTCATTATTCCAATTTATCATACAGCAGTGATTGCTCTGGAAGATTAACATTATTAACAGAGAAACAAAAATATGCAACCCTCCTCTATAGCCCTGTCTCTATCCTCATAACCAGCAAGAGTTATTTAGTTCCTGACTTTATTTTTGTTAATTAGCAAAATTTAGGAGCTTAAAAGTAGGTATATCAATTTTGTTGGCTTGGTGGATACATAAATATTAATCAGAAACCTGACCCAAAGCCCAGTAAAGTCAGTGAGTATATATCCTAATGATATTGGGATAAGAAAGGGTTAGTTTCTGGAACTGCAGCAGTTTCTCTTGTACAAATGTCTTCTCCAATATTCAGTACAGTGTGTGCAAAGCGGAACAATCACCACAACAGGTCTGGAGTTCCAAAGTGCAAATACAAGTATCTCTTTATTTAAAGTTTAAAGTTCTGCCTCCCTTGAACTTGGTGGTTGGAATTTATCCTGTCCAGATCACATCACAAAGCAACGAGATAATAGGTTTCATGAAGCGCTGAACTGAAGAGGCAGTTCGGCTGTTAGCGCTGGACATGTACGAGGCACTGCATACAAACAGGCAAGCGTATTTTTTAATATGTAACAGTTTATACAATGCCTCATAACCCCATACTCACAAATGACCAAATTAACAAAAAAAAAAATTTAAAAGCGGGAAAAAAAAAAAGACATTAACTACTTTCTATCACCAGTTGAAAAAGCCACAAAATTAAACAGTAAGGAAAGCAGATTCTTGAAGTGGAACATTAGACCTAGATTTATGTCAATCCATATTAAAATATTTTGTATTATAAACATACACAGTGTTTTAACATGCATTCTGAGTGAGGCTCTAACTGGGCTCCTCAAAGACTACAGTAGTTTGAAATAGTTTGAAACAAATCACTACTGCACCTCAGACATAAAATGGCGACAAAAGAAAGGTGCTGTAGGTGCTTTGGCTGCCAAAAGTTCTGCTTCCTTCAAGCAACATACACCAAAACGGAGAGAACATACAAAAAGGTGGTAGCCCACATATTTTTTATTTGGTAGGCACAGTATCACATTGAGTACTTAACACTCACATTCCATTTTCATGCCCATCTCTAGACATTTCTTAAGCCTACAAAACTGGCAGCGATTCCGATGGTGTTTATTGATGATACAGTCCTGGTTGCTACGACAACTGTAGGTCAAATTCTTCCTTACACTTCTTTTAAAGAAACCTTTGCATCCCTCACAACTGACAGCACCATAGTGACGACCTAGGAAACATATATATTGTTATCAGATGGAAATTACTTATATTTTAGCATAGAAATATTTATTTTAATCAAGTAAATCATTGTAAGTCACCCTTTAAATTTCTTTTGTATTTGTACAATCATTTTGGACCATGAAAGCATTTATAAAGTCTTACAGAATGTTTCTTGTTTAACTACTGTCAGTTTTTTGCTGAGAGAGTGGAGAGAAGAGGAAGGCTAAGCCTATTTCTGAATGTGTGGTATATGAAGTTGCAGTTCCTGTTCTGGACAAGTACAGATGTAATTCTACCTGCTGTTACAGACTATAGGATATATTTAAAGAACATACAGTCCAAAAGTTCAAGTAATTTCAGAATATAAATAACTTTACAACAAAATTTAAAATGCAATCTTCATTTAGATTTCCTGTATATACCAGTTCTGGTATTGTTTTAATTACATAAAAGAAAGTGAGGCAAAGAGACAGAAGGGTGTCTTCTCTGTAGCATGAAAGCACAGTACACTTCCTTGACTAATACAGAAATTTTACCTCAGGACTTCTTGTAACTGCCTGGATCTGAAACACCGAGGATTCATGTGATCTTTACTTGCCTTTTTCTGTGATAGTAGAAGAACAAAATCTACCAGAAAGCATTAAGCTTGTTAGAGAGCACTAAGAAGTGTTCTCTCAGAGTAGCTAGACTTTTGTAGGTGACAGGTTTATTTCATGGTTTCCCATCACTGTGCAGAACTTGACTAAATGCTTCAAGGAGTCTTCTTCCATTAGCAGGAGCTATTTAATCATTATTTATCATACGCTCCAGTTGAAGGAAAAGAATAATGTTCTTCCAAGCAGAGTTTAACTATTTTGTGTGTATAAATACAAAGTATGTTATCTTTTTTCATTTAAAAACTCAATTGCTTTTGCCATCGGCATGGCTAAAATCAGTTAAAACACACAAAAAATCATCTCTTCATCCCAGTCATCCTTTCTAGCAACTTTCTTCAATACTACCGTCTATGCTTCCTTACCTGATGCTTTATCGCCACAGACTACACAATATTCTACTACCTGGGGCCGCTGAACATCAGTTTTTCCCAGCAAACGTTCCACTGAAGCAGAGTCTGTCACTATCTAAAGCAAAATTCCAGAACAAAAAGACATAATTAGCCAGACACGAAAGTAAGGAGCTTAGCCTACAGAACAAGATTGGTGTATCAGCTGAGAAGAGGTGACTAAATTTTAGAATTACATATGTAGTATAAAATGCAATTTAATGAGAGGTTTTACTGTCAGTGCTGACACTGTTGAAACGGTCATATCAAAACAAATTCCAAATAAAACTGGTAGTTTTGTTGAGTACAAATGAGTTTCCTCACTTGTGCAACAGTATTTTTCCCTTCTTGCAATTGCTGTCAAACAGCTGCTATATTTTAGTCAGAGATGGTTGGCTTTCAGATGATGTTTCCACGTATCCCTTCTCTAGCTATTAGGGGCATGTGGTTCAAAGGGGATAGCCTGAAGCTGAGATTTATTATAGAAACAGTTTAGCTTCCAAAGGCCTTCAATTCCAAAACTTCTGTTCCAAACATTCCGCTTAACACAGAAAAATTAAAAAAACCCACCCCTCTACAATGTCAAATATCCTATTTAGCATAGTAAAATAAAATTTAAAAGACTGTTACTAGAATTTTTAAAATATTTACGTACAAATGATTCTTCTTGCTGTAAAATATTCTCTACTGTAACAGTAGCAATAGGGACCATGCACTTCTTTTTTTAATTTTATTTTTAAGACTGCCAGGAAGAAATCTCAAATTTCACTAGGGGGAGGTAGATTATTGTTTATATCGCTGGCTTTGCAAAGCTCCAGTTGGCCTAGATCATGCTCAAAACCCACAAAAAAGCATAGCAGAGGATAGCTTCTGGTCTAAATAGCTGTTATTGCAGTGTCTTGATACTGAATGTAAAAGTATGAACTCACGTAAGTTTGCTGAGCTGAGTTGTATCTCTGTATATCTGTGAATACTGAACAGACTAAGAAATCCTGTCACTTAAGCCCTATCTTAAGTACTCGCTTATGTCTTTGGAACTTGAATTAGAACAGACAATGAGGGGTGATGAGTGCAATAAGGAATGTGAAGACAGAAGAATTTATGATTGAATAATGAAGCCTACAATTAGTATTGTTTAATCCATATCATTAGATCTTTAGAAAACCATTGCAATTGGTCTTAAAGCAAACACAGACTTAAAAAATCTAGAAACCAAGAATCTCAAGTACCATATTTACCTGAATTCTGCCTGGCACAATGTTGTCCGTGGTGGTAAAGATAAGCTGTTTGGCATTAGATGTCTCAGGTGCTGCCAGTATCACCTTTCCGGCACCAGTTCCGTCTGGACTGGCTAAAATAAACTGTTGCTTTGGAGACACGGCAGAATCCACTGCTGTCACTATTTGAATTTTCTGACCTGTTTGCTGATCTGTCACAATCTGTAAAACACATTAAAGAAATTCACGACTGCAGTAAGCTTTACATTTTAAAACCTTTAATGCTCTCTCAAAATTATATCCATGAAAAATTACAAGGAAGCTCTCCGACTTTTCTTCATAGATGTCACCAAAGAGATGTTCTCCAGTCATCAACAACATTTACCTATATATTTTATCTAAGATGTTACTCCTTAAAGTTATCAACAAAAGGTGGAATTAGGCAGCCTTATTGTTTCATGTGCTGATTCTCAAGATTCTCTTATGGTGGAAGGTTTCTATTTTTGATACAGTTGTCTGGTACCATAATCTCTATTTTGCCTGGTAAAGTAACCATATCAACATTCATCAGTATTTCATTAACACTTAACAAGTCCTATCTCATTTGCCACTGCATACATTCTGATACATTAATGGCATCTTTATATTATGTACCAGTAACAACGACCCACTGTGCAGCATTCTCAAAGGCTAACTTCATGTTAAATAGATTAATCTCCCACTGGCTACTAAATGAGTGGGAGGAGGCATGCCCTTAGAGATGACCTCAGGTGTTCTGTTGACAATGTCTGCCCATTTGCTGTGGCTAGGGCTCAGGAGATTTGTACATGTAGGCTAGGTTTAATCTCTGTAAACACTCTTCACTGACCACATCATCAATATAACTATTATACACAGCCAACCAATCATCACCACATACATGCTGAGGAAGAAAGAGAATTTTAGTTTGCATTAAAAATGATCTGTACTTCCATTTAAGGAAGTATTCCATAGCATGCTTTTGTATAACCCTAAGTGGGAGGAGGAGAAAAAAGGAGAAAATGCAATAGCTAATTAATAGATTTTTACCTGAATGCGTTGTTGTGAAGCTACAGAGGAGTCTGTGGAAATTATCTGGATACGCTGGGAAGGGCTGGTCATCACTGGAGATTCAGATAGCGAAGTCTGAACAGTCTGCACCTGTAAATAATACATAGAATTTTAATCTACTGTAAAGGTATTGAACACTTTTAAAAATACATATATTTATTAAAGAACAGATGGACCTATGGCATGGAATCTAAATTTATTGGAAAGGTTACAATCATTAAATGAACTTGGATTTGTTTTCAATGAATTATCAGAATATTGGTTTTTGGGAAAAAAAATACATCGTATGCAGTAACGTGTCAAAACCCAGGAAGCTCCACAAGCTGTTTTTATTAAATCCTCTGTTAAACAATCTTGGAATGATTTGTTTATCAAAATCTATACAGCTGGACAACAGGGTAGTGTCAATTTAAGTTTGCTTTGAAAAATCTTTTTTTAATATACATATAAGTTCATTTTTTATGTAAAAAAAGAAAAAACAGTTTGGACAGCAAGGAACCTGTACTGCAAGTCTCTTTGGGAAAGCAGAGGTGTTAAAATACACGGTGCTTAATGAAAACATACCCTTCTACTCCCCTATTGCCTGTACCATAAGCAGTCTGATATAGTATAAAAGTCTAACCTAACTTCAACATACCGTCTCTAATTATCTTTAATACACAGGTCACAAAAGTTGCATGTTAAATGAGGAAAATACACAGGAGAGATGGAGAAATAGCAGAATCTTCTAATTATTGGATGATTCAAAGCATTCAGCTGCAGAAAACAAGATACCTAGGCAAGAAAAAAACCAAAACTTCCAAAATCAAGACTCTTAGTGGACACATTTAATCAATGATCTTCTTGTCTTCCATGACAAATTATTAATTAAGCTACACGCTCCTTAAAAGGTATAAATTAGAACTAGAATATATTTTAAAACTGTTTTACAATTCTTCACCTGCAACTGTAGAAAAGTATCACCACCAATAATTTCATATGCTGAAGTCTATATAAATTAATAGTGATTTGCCTTAAATGACACAGAAGATAAGAACAAAGCTTAAGAAATATAAAAATACACTTAAAAACATATGTATCTACCCTTTTTATCATTAAATTAAAACCAAGTATTTGGCAATTAGGTGCATTTTGAAGACTAGCAAAATTAAATTTGGCTTCTGTTTCATCTATTAATAATTTTCTCATTTCATATATGTATATAATTGTATAGTTACCTTATTTTTCCTAATTTTTTGCAGTTTCTACACTTCAGTTGGAATCACATTAAGTTTCCAACAGATAGGTATATACAAAATATATATGTATATATAAAACTGGTAGACCGAAGCTAAGCTTCTCTAGACATTTCATTATTCTTATGTCATTTGAAATAAATAAGGTTTCTTCATGGCCATATAGTTGTTTGCATACTAATTTACCGATTTACCCATCACATATATACACATCTATGTGCGAGTTTGTATGAACATATGTATATATATAATACATTTCTGTACTTACTAACTAAATTTTCAACACTTTCTGTAGTTTATTTCCCAACCAGCACACTGATTATGAAAGGAATATTTGAGCAATAAATTGAAGGAATAATCAACTGGCCACATTGGGAAGGAATTTTTAAAGTCTCTAATCTTTTCTAACAAGCAGAAAAATATTTCCTATATTCACAGCAGTAAAAACCAAAGTAATTGTATTGCTTGAATACACTGGTCTGTTCTCACTAAGTGTAAATCAATTTCAGAGATACTGATTTCTAGTCTCTTTCCTATAATATTAATAAAGTAAGGCATAATTAAGCAAACACAGGCTATTTTTAACTGCACCCATGAAACAGCTAAAGAATTTCAGTAAAAAATACGGTATCAGGTTTTATACCTGCATCTCAAATCAAATCAGAAAGACTTATTTTTCTATAGATATTTTTCCTAATTAACTTCTTTAGCTATTAAATTAATAACAGGCTTTTACAAAAAAATGTATATTCAAATATATTTCTTTCACAGATGTAAGATATATCTAAAAATGTTTCAGTGATTCTCTTTGGAGAAGAGAATATTCTGACCACTAAGGTCTTTTCTAGAATGGTAGATAAAATTCAATTCCCGATAGAAGAGCTCTAGTTTAACTGCCCTAGCAGGATGGCAGTGCAAGATCTTGTATAAGACATACAAAGGCAACAGTCACGGAAGAAACTGCAGTTGGCATATCCACATCCTAAGAAAATCTCAGACTATGTCTTATGGACCACCCCAACACCTTTGTTACACCAGTGGCTCTGCCACTTCTGGTAACAGCCTTGAATTCAGAGGCTGCCAAACTGCCTAAGCCAGGGAGGAGCTCCTTATTCCCATATGCACTTTCTAAGAAATACCTCTCAGGCTGATGGTATGTCCAGGTTAACAGTAAATTGAGAAAAGCTGTATTTGAACTAAAACTCGTTTGAGAAGACTTTGCATTAAAACTCCACCTTGAAGATTCATCCAGAAATGAGAAAGTGGCCAAAGATAGTAATGAAATATTAAACAAAAATTGCCTTATTTTACACTTCATCAATTCTTAAACCAAAGCAAAACCTTATTCCATCAGAACAGCAGTGTTTCTACTCTCCTATTCCAGCACACTGTGCTTCATCTGAATTGCTGAACTACTTACTGATGTAACACGTCAGAGATATCTGAAAGAGGGTCAAGAAAATACTTCATGGGACCAAGATATCCAGTATTTTTTGAGTTCCATGGCAAAACATTCTTTCAAAAAGGTTCAATATTTTGATAGGTTCTTATCAGGACACTGAGAGAACTGAAAGCAACTGAAAATTCTCCAACAGTGCAGCTGTCATTAACAAGATCCAGGAAGCACAGGGCTCACTGGTCACCTTCTGTGACTCTAGGGCCTCTGACAGGGAAAAAGGATGCACTGGGAACAGTTTGTGGCTGTCATGGAGCCAGCATGGACAGTTTTAGCAACTACTAAAAATTCTTCCTGGTCACATCAGAGCTGCTGTTGGAAAGAGGAAACAGTCATTATTCCTCCCCACAGTGACAGCTCTGTTTAAAAGATTTGCATTAAAATCTAAGGCACTACACAGGGAATGCATCTCCACTTCAAAACTAAATACAGTTTTCTTAAACAATATTCAAGTCAAACCTAAGTCAGTGGTGGGACTGAACCCGAGTCATTGACATATTGCCCAGTACTAAACAAATACTTGGGAAAAGCAGCATTACTTATTTTTGCATTAAGGCTAAAGTACTTTTCCTGCTTTTCAAAAGCTGTTCAGGATGAGGAAGAATTGCTGAAATTCCCTCCGAATTCCGTAGCTGCTCTCTGTTCTCCAGTCTCATGAAATGTAAGTAAAGGCAACTGCAGACACTACTCACCCCCAACCTGTTCAGAAATACAGAGTTTTGTATTTCTGTGTATTTTGACAACCCTTTCCGTAAAGCAATTCTTCTGGATGTCCACAGAAATATACAGTTGCAAAAATTCAACAAACAACACTGATATAAAGCAGAAGCAAGCAACAGCACTGAAACCAGCAATTACAAGGACAATTTTAAAAAGTCGTAAAAATAAAGTACAAAAGTACATGCACTACTGGAGCACGCTCAGCAACTTCTGTGATACATTCAGTTTCATTGAAAACAAATCTGATGAACTATCGCTCAAGAAAGTGAAACAACATAGAGCCTTACTTGAATGACAGTCTGATTTGGTGCTTGCTATCACAGTTCTCAATAAACCCAGGCACTACGTTTGTTGGCAATTATGTGGAAAAAATTATGCAGATACAGCTAAAGCTGTCGATATTTGCATTGGGTTATCCTGTTTGCCACTTGCCTCTCAGTTCATAACTTGAAATTCAGTGCATGATCAATGATGCTCTTCTTCCATTTAATTTTCATCAATGAAAAATATGGTATTCTGAAAACCTCTCATTTTTTAAAGCCAGTGCCAAGTTTGATTCTAAAGAAACAGTAAGTACAATATAGAATTTTAGCTCATGTCACGAAAACTAGTGATGTATTTACCTGTATTAAAACCTGTATCTGATGGAAGAAACAAATAGCAGGCAGCCAGCCATTCATAAAAAAATGATTCAACATTTACATGGTCCTAGTATTAATGAATTCTTAATGAGATAATGCTGCTTACAACTGTTTTTCCATGAACAAAGCTTTCACGGTGTTATGTAGTGGACAGGCATATAGTTTAAGGAGTAGCTGAATACCATAAAGAGACGAAGCCCTCTATTTACCCACCGGCCAGGAAGAAATCACAGAGCTTCGTACACTCTTGAGATGGAGCGATCTCTCCAGTGGCAAGATACAACCATCACACTATGTTACCACGGTGCATTTCCTGCACGAGGAATTACAAATGTCACATATTTTATGTGTTTGAGATGTTATTATAGCACCCAAGTTCTACCAATATAGGATAAGGTTTGCCAGTATTTCCATTACAGGTTTCTATTTCCAAGTATGTTTGGAAGTGTTTTTAAAAAATGCAGCTTGCCAAATTGATACCTGGTACAGAAAACTAGAGTGATAAATCTCCTGTTGGTTTTCAGCGTGAAACTCATGGAGCTTTTTGTAACTACTCCTTCGATGTTACTTCCAGGACACACTAAAAAGAATCAAATTTTAACAAAAAAAAATAGTTCTAAGTAGGGAATCTTGAATCCACTTCTGAAAACAGAATCAAACTTGTATTTCTTTCTTATATAGAGCTTCTTCTTGAACTAAAAGTATTTTTTAATATCCAGGTGTAATAGCACAATAGATGAAAAATAGTGCAATACTACAATAGATGAAAGAAACCTCCAAACTAGTGTCTGAAAAGTGGCCTTATCTAGAGAGATCTCTCAGCCCACTTGCACTGAGCTATATATTAAATCCCTTAATTACGTAAACAGTATTTGAAGGCTATTAAACAAAATAATTTTAATCAGACAAATGATCTAGTTTATTTTTTGACTGAAGTTTGCATGGTGAAGGAGATAAACGGGTTATTTTCTATGACAGTGAGCCCTTATAGTTTGTGTTTATTAGTTGATTTAAACATTTTAGCTGTTGAGCATCCAAGTTTCAGTGAATATACATCAAGATATCACCTAATATCATTTAAAGTAGATTTCATGCTCTTTTTTCTTACATGTGTAGGCAGAAAATATAAAACCTGATTTAAATTAATCACCCTACTGTAAATTGAATACAGTGCATAAGTAAAACAGGTAACTTCAAACACTGTGGTGGATTCAGATTACAACTCAAATGAGAAGCAGAAACCTTTCATGTCCAAAATGGTCAATCTAATGATCAAATGATGAGAAATTTCATTGTATTAGTCTTTTTAGCAATTCACAATACAGCCAAGTTTCTCTATAGCTCATGCTGAATTTCCTACTTGCATTCCTAATATGGGGGCCACCACAATGAAGTTAGGTGAACAAAACACATATTGGTGGCAGTGGTTTCATATTTGTCCCCAAGTGTAAAGCAATCCTGCTCTATAAAGATTTTCTGTTCCATTTATGATGCTTAATTGTGAACAGCAGGGACTCCCTAATATGTTTTTAATTTCAAAATCTCATATACCAACTGTTGTGATATTATCTGTCACTCACCTCAGCCACCTGCTGAGTCTCCACTACCTGCTGAGCCAGCACCTCCATATTGGTTGCCATGGTGAAACAAGATCATTAGAGAACCTGTTTGGAAAGACGCCAGCAACTTCCATCAGGTACAAAAGTCAGGGATTTTTCTTATTATTAAAGAAAGCTCTGAGATGAATTTTTGGTAATTTCCAGTTCTGCTTGATGCATCTGGCAAATAAGCCAAGGTGCCACGGATGCGTGTGTGCGACTATATACGTGTGCACATATACGTATATGGGACGGGCACACTGCAACCGTGCCCTTCAAACACCCAGGGCACAGAGTTATACCCGTACTCTATAAAGACTCTAACATACTATTTCCACTCTATTATTTAGGCAGTAAAGAAGAGATGGGAATTTCATAAATGAGAAAGGACTAATTTGAGTGTCAACTACTGATGCAGTTTGTGGAGTTCATAGATCTCTAAGGTACTTTCCTCAGCTCAAGAAGGATAAACCTTACAGTTAAATGGCTTCTACACCCCACACTGAACACGGGACAGCAAGCTAAGAATGCTGTTTTGCACAAAATTTCATCAAGTCATTCCATCAAATTGCCATGTTCATTCATATTCTTAGCATAATCTTGCACAATAAGAGAAATAAACTGTCACATCTAAAATGTACTTTCCATTATCTAAACTATTTTTTTATTATAATGTGATGGTATTATCACTTTGAGAAGAAAATACTGCAGAATCATTTTATCCTATTCTGAGTGACTGCACACTGAACTTTACAGCCTTTGGGGTTAAAAAAATAAAAAAGCAAAGCAATCAAGTATAAAGAAACAAGAAAAACCACTTCCTATATATTTTTAATTATCATTATTAGGGCTGTGTTTCTCCCAAGGTAAATTTAAATAAGATTTCCAATCAATTAATTCACTTTTTAATTGTGACTTGCTCATTACAGGGCCAGATTTCAGATTCTGACCCAGGTGTAGGTAATGAAACAGCATTCCTGAATGCTGGCCCATTTGATGTTTTGTTGAAAATCTCTGTTTGTATCTCCAAAGCAATCATTTAATATAAAATTTAAAAATACTGCAAACAATAGCAAAATGTAACAGAAAAATGCATTTCCCTATGGAAACTATTTATGCTAGTTTTTCCTACAGCTTGTCATTTTTTATTCAAGTGTTCGACTTACACATTAATATTATGAACCATTTCCACCAAACCCAGTTTGTGAATGGTTTCTCAGTTGTTCAGTAATTCCTTTTCAGTGTTTTCTCTTTTCTTAAATTATTTTATATTCAGCAAGAATGATAACCATATGGTCATAACGTTATTTTCTCAATGCTTTAAGATGAAAGAAACCCTGCAGATATTTTGTTCATAAAAGTACCTTTCTGAGACACAAAGAAGTCTTTCCTGAAGTATGGCTTTGACAGATGTGCTGGTGGTGGTGTTATCCACTAAGGCTTTTTGTACTTTCGACCCTTCTGAAAGAGCCTTAAGCTGAGGCTATTAAGCTGATTCGATTTAAGCCCAGAGACACTACACAGCCATACCAAGCTTCTTAATGGTGTCGACTCCCAGAAGACAAAATCAGCTTCTCAGCAAAAGCCTTGAGAAGCAGTTTGTGAGGCAACAACGAAAAAAAATTCCCCAAACAAACCAACAAGAGGTGCAACCTAAAATCTGCAAGGAAGCACATGGAGCACCAGGAAACTATTTTTAATGTAGCAGTGTGGCAGCCAGCTCAGTATGTGCTGAGGTACTGCTGTCCAAAACACGGTGTAAATCCATTAATCTCTCCCTAAGCTGCAGCGAAACCTCAGAAGCAAGTCATAAACTCCATTTGAGATATTCTACGGGTACGGCCCAACCATGACGACAGGGCAATAGGCCAAATTCAAGATTATTGAAATTTGCTCCTTTGTCTTAAGGAAACGAAGTTCTTCACACTGCGAGCTCGACCCGGCTACACCGGCGGGACAGGAGGGGCGCGGG